CTGGGGTAAAAGCATATAATCAGGCACTCCCTGGACGCCGAGGGGAGATTAATATTCATGGAAAATTCAATAATATCCCAGTTTGATTACTAAATCTCTGATAGCCTCCCATTGCAAGTTAACTGGAAACAGATTGCGTATGGATTTTTACCACAGTGGCGTTGCAATATCTCTTTGGTACCCAAACGCCCTGAATACGGATTCAGAAATGATTATTTCAGACATGGATTCAATGTGGAAGAATTTTTTAAGAGATTTGTTTTCCTAAAAAGAAATTGAGACTAAGACGTGACATTTGATATGATGAGGGAAACCCATTATAATGATTATAAGGAGAGCAAGTGAGCAAGAACATCAGGGCTCAGTCATATTATTGTGTAGACGGGAGCAACGTAATATACACAAACAAAAAGACACACAGCATGAAACCTGCAAAATCAACAATACAGTGCCATATACAGTGCAACACGGCGCAACACAACACAACGCAACGCAACACTGCACTACACAACACAACACAACGCAACGCAACATATTATAACATTACACAGCAGCACAGCATAACACAACACTATGAAGCGCAGCGCAACACCAAACAACATGATACAAGACAGCACAATTCAAAACAAAGGAATAACTACTAGTTTTTGTATACATACAATAACAATGAAATAAAATGTGGAATCGCCACAGGCTCACAACATGTATGCAATGTTGCTGTTTTACATAATAAATAAACGTTCAGTGACTTGAGGCCAAGAATTTAAGCTTTGTCCAAGAGTTGGGTTGAAACATTATCGGACAAGACTCAAAGGACCATCTGGTCTTCATCGTTAATGATCCAGAAATATATTTTGTCACGTCAACTGTACTATTGATGATACATTTATTAATTAACTTAGTTATCGATCGCCACAGTTATCGATTCTCAATCGAAGCAGAGTAGAGAAAGATTGACTTATTTTGACAAGTTTGAAGGACTATAAATCGGTTATTTGTTGTATTTATTTCACCACCACGTAACTTAAGAATTATTAACTTAAGAGAGGGAACACATCACGTAAAGTGTAGAGGAAATCTCCCCTACCATCGCTCTCATACATTCAGAATATGACCCCAAACCACAAAATTGCATTATTGATAATTCGTCCTCTGGGGCAGTTTCATATAATGCATGAAGATAATGTAGGGTGACATTTAGTGCTAGCCTCCTGGCGAGGTGCCACTGACACAGCGGTGCAGCGCTGGAAAAGAAGCTTAAGCACATACCGTTAACGCGTTAGCGATTTTTAACATTCCTCCTGTTTATTACCTTCCAAAAGAAGCCTTTCGTGGGTTTGTTCGTGTGTTTGTGGGCATCATAACCCAAGAAGCTGTGAATTAGTTGATATGATATTTAGTATGTAGATGATGTAGGTGTCAGAAAAATGAAGGGTTTGAGTATGGACCCCTAGCAGTTTTCTTCGGTACTGCAGTAGAAATTCCGGATGTTCCGGATTCCGGATAAACGAGCAGCAATGAAAGAAAAAAGCGAACTTTTTTGCCCATGCAACTGGAAAATGAACGAACACGAGTCGAAACAAAGTGGCAAGCCTTGAGATTGGACAACGTCGAATAACTAGCTTCACACGGTTCACTGCTTAAACAACCTTGGATGAGCAGTAGACGCAACAAGAGCCCTTCATCTGATGAAATCGTCCCTTCCTACAACCCTCCGTATCTCCTGTGTGTACAAACTGCCAATACCGTCGCCACACCAGCATTCATCAGCCAAGTGTTGATGATATTACCCCAATATCGGGAGGGGCGCGCAGTCCCGTCGGGCTGACTTCCCTGCCCTCATTACTCCGGATCGATGATGCTTGTTAAGGTGCTTTGTGATGAGTTCCAAGGTCCCGGCACAAGAGGGCTTTCCGACACGCGAACACGGGAGAACCCTCGCCGCTGAGCCAATTATACACTCCTCCGGTCCACTCTTGACTTTATCGTGAATCGAAGTCGTGTGCGCTGACTCTTAAGGACACGCGGACAAGTCTCTTATGAGTTTCTCCAATTTTTTTATTTTTTATTTTATCTATTGAGCTTTACAGATTTAAAAAAAAAATCTGTGAGGAGCCGGCAACAGAAAGCTGGTTTCTCTACGGGGCCGGCTCCTCAACAGAGATACATAGCACCGAGACAAATAATACATCAAGATACATCTAAATATCAGAACTAAAAATATACGGTATACAAAATACAAATAACAGTAAAGGCAGTAATTTTGATGAAGTTCATGGTAACAGTACGTACTAGTAACACTTCTGTACCTCTTTTTCCTTCATTACTTTCTCTTCCTTCTTGCCTCTCTTACCCTTTCCCTGTCTAAAACGTATAGGTTTAGAACATCAGCTGTCTAAAACGTAACGTTATATGCTTTTAAAATATTAGCTACGGAACTATGATGAAAGTAACGTTAGCTCTGAATGCGCCGCATTGTCATCGTTTTTTATCTCTCACTTAGAATTTGTAAAAATGTACCTTTTTATTTGCGATAACCGTACCGTCAAAAATCAATTTGTCTTTTTGTGACATAACTTTGTTGCCCATCTTTTTTGGATTATTTTCTTTCCTGCTCCCAGATACGCTGTCTTCATAATAATGCACACCAGACTAACAATGTAAACTATCTATGGGACACTATATGGTAAACGTTGCTGACTTATCAATGCATTAAAGCATCAACGCAAAGCCTCGGCTTTAGGTACGTTCCAGCGGTTAATTGCATTGTAATCTGGTACACTGCCAGGTTTACAGCCGCCCATTGTCATGTCGTGGCGAATTTGAAGTTTCATTCTAACGATTTTACAGAGAGGAAGATCGGGATATAAAGTTGCTGACACGAAAAGAGGCAACTATACATCTATTAGATATAGTAATGGAATAGAAGTCTCCGAGGTAGACGCTGTCATTAGCCTGAAATCCAGCCCTGTTAGGTCTGCTCAAAAAAATTCTCTTCATCAATTTCCTGTGTCTGACCTCCGGTCATTCTGCCTGTCAATCTTCACCCACCCACTTGCCACTTGAAGAAGAAGAGGAAACGTAGCAAAAACAGTATGTTTTCCTTCGGTAAACATAATAACCCAAAACCCAAACCTCTGCTTGGAGAGTAAGGAAGACGGGCAAACCGACCACGTGCGTCACGGAATCCCATCCTCCTCTGCTCGCCCCTGGTGGATACACACTTGCTGATGCGGCTGTTTCCACAAGATTAAACTAAGCCGGCTCCCCCTTTTCTAACAAATCTACTCTGCGACTTCAAGTCTAACCCGCGTCACACACGCCACCGCGCAAATTGCTTAATCTGCACATTCCTCGTAAGTGGATAGAACCTTTGTAAATATTGATAAAGGCCTTCAAAGGAAGGTCCTAATCGTATTTGGGTATAAAATTAACAGCGGGGCATTAGCTTTCAACCACAGGACGTCTTACAGAGAACAGTGTTACGTATGACGTTTTCATCCTCGCCTACACACCGAGGATTTGTTGATTCCATCATTGACAAGAAACGTAAGAGTCTAAAGTCGTTACATGTGACGAAGTGAGGTGGGGGCATGTGATTGTAGACCCAGTGTGATCGGGCTTAGTACGTATCGAAAATTGTTTGGAAATATATCTACTGCGTTTACTAAGTAAGGTACCGCGTTAACACACCTTATAACCTAGTTTAGAGGATTCGATGTTCCGTGTGCAAGGATCAAGTTTTTGGCAACTAGTCCGATAGATGTTGTGTCACAGTTGCAAAACAAACTACGGAAAAATAACTGGGATGCCCGAACCTGCATCAGAGAAGGAAGTATAGACACTCTTGGTTCTGTTTTATATAGCAATACACGACCTTATAGCCATACCTACACAACATAGCATCACTGTCACACTACAATCAGATGTAAAACAAATATATTCAGCTCCATCGTCTTCCCCAGAACTATTTATACAATGTATACAGAATGGTATGTACTACCTGCACACCTTGCAGCACACCCACCTGCAACACATTCAAGTTATCAGGGAGGGAAGAGAGGCAAGCAAACAGACAGACTGACAGACAGACTGACAGATTGACTGACAGACAGACAGACTGATTGACAGACAGATAGACAGACAGACAGACAGACAGACAGACAGACAGACAGACAGACAGCAGGTAGACTGAGACCTAGAGAAACAAATAATTTCACCCTCTTATTATCATTGAAGTATTGAAATTGAAGTACCCGACTATGGTAATAAATAGACCATGATCCGACCATCATCGCCAATTACCCATAAATCATTGCGTAATTGCAATTCCATGTCGTCGTCCAAGATTCAACATGGCGGACCCTGACAGGTAAACAAGCACACACAAACAGCTATAAAAGCGTTACTACATGCGACATGTATATGCACGGCCTATTTTACTCATTATTTCGGTACCCCTACATATTAAACACCAACATATTATCATCCTATGTTGTCCAAAATACTGGGAACGGAATTTCCTGACGAATCCAACTATCGTAAATACTAGTAGCTGACGCACCATAGTGTTATATACTAGTATGTTGTTGTTGTTGTCCTTGTTTAACGTCTATTTTTCCGTCATCCATGGTCTCATAATGCCATTTTCTGCTTGGTTCCTTGTTTATTGTACTCCGTCTCATGTGCTTGAGCTCTGATGCTTTGCGCAAATGTACTTTTAGGTCAAGACGTTTTGTGTTAGTTGAGGAAAGTCGTGTTAGAGTTGTCCACAACGTTTCGTACCTCATCCCAACATTTTTAAGGGGTGTTAACTTTTCCACAGACGGCCTTGGTACAGATGGAGTACGAATAACACCTCTAGTTCAGGTGAAAACGGTGAAAATTGCACGATAATGGTTCGTTAGAACCGTCCAATTTGACTGGGAACGAGAGCACGGTGTAATATAATTTCCCATCAGCCCTTCCTTATCATTCACCGTCGTTCCCATCCTTAGCAGATTCAATTTTCCGCATCGTGTAACAGATCTCCCTCCTCTCTGAAGGTTAAGACAAGCTGTTACAGGGTCTTAACTCAAGCTGGGAGTTCAAGTGCATATAAAGTACAAGTTGTTGTTCTGCGCACAGCGGGTCATTGACCTCGCGCACGTGCTCAGGCTGTGTAAACACTGATTTCGAATTTTTAAGTATAGACTCTTAGACTTTAAGTAAGAAATTTTGATTCTTACTCAAACCTTTATACTTAATACCCAACGATTTATAGTTGCCTAATGATTTATATTGCCGTTAGTCTTGTATAAACGAACGCTCATTTGTTGTTTTGTCATCTTCATACTTGTAATTTGTATTCTATGTCAGGGGTGTGATTAATATTAGCTTCGGCTAGAGTTTCCACCTCTATGTCTTGTACCATGTCTTGTACTTTGTTGTTTCAAAAAAAAAAGTATAGACTCTCACCTGCTTACGTTTCGCCGTTTATTATATACCTTACTTAGACCTTCTTGGCATATCATACACTTCATTCACATGAAATATGACTTATAGCTATTAGATATTTATTTGTGTTTTTCTTGCATCGACAACTGTGTATAAATATGGTTTACGTAATAAGAAAATAAGGTAAATGACAGCAATTTTATTACATTTATCTTATATAGCTACTTAGTATATCAGAATATTTATAGAATTCTGTAAGCATTGCAAGTTTATTTGTCAAATCGTGATGTGTTGGTATTACGTTGTTATTTCTTATTTTGTCCACCTTTTCCACGGAATATAGCTGATAACTTGTTAATTACGTTGACCCAGCAAAACGTAATATCTAGTCTGGAGCTTTATGTGCTCGCTAATGGGCCTTGCTGTCAAACTATCAGCATAGAAATGTTGAAAAATATCACCCAAGAGTTACTTTACAGTAAAATATCAATTAATATGGCTTTTACTAATGAGAAAACCATCTTCATTTTCCCACTTGATTGGATATCAGATATTTCTTAAACGACTTGCTATTTAGCGAGAGATTCGTAATTGTCATTAACCATGAGTTGTAACGATTCCTGGATATAAGGGTCTTTAAAGTATTACGGCGCGAGTCCTTGAAATTGGATAAGACCGCTCTCATCAGATATACCGCAAATTGATTGTATGCTTGTACGACTTACCGTTTTAAAATGCCTGCTAAAGCAATGCTTAATATGTCTGAAGACATGAAACTGCGGAAGCGTAGAACAGGTGCACTTCTAATGGCGTACGGTAATGCGTTTTCTCTTTTACAAGATCGTTACTTGGTTAGTTTTTCTTAAGGGCTCCGTCATTGGAAATTGGGAACTCACAAAGAATTATCGAAAAGACATGTATGCAAGAGGGAGCCAGAAAATTAAAATTGAGTGGCGGGAGAACTAGGTTTGGAATCTGTAGTGTTTTCACATATCAATAAAGTGGGCAGGTGACTGCCGCCATGTTGGTGTCCCTATTTGCATTTCACTGGATTGTAGCTCAAGCGCACACGGCGTTTTGTTGTGTCTGTGCTCTTGTGGCTAATCTCCAAGCAGATCCCTTTCGGTGGCAATACAGTATCCATTAGCCAGACGAGTTTGTACGGCCACTGAATTTTAAAAATAAGTGCTGATCCCTGTTTCACTGTCAGCAGTGGCTAATGGACACTTCTATGGCCAATGGACACCGCCTTGCCACCATGCCATATGATCTGCTTGGAGATTACTTGTGGCATTACTTTCTTCATGCTATAGACAATAAACAGCGGTTATTTGAGAGCTTGAGCTATGATTCACTGAAATGCAAATAGACACCAACTGAGTCGATGTCTTCAGATACCAATGCTAAATTATAACCACAGGAATCGCTTCACTGAACCTTAACGATCAGCACTTAGTGTCACTAATGAGATAGGCGTAGATGTTCATTACAACTCCAACTAATTATGCCTTAAGGGTTAGCGAAACGTGATGACTTAATCTGTTTAGCAATTAGGAGCATACTGTGGCACGGGACCTAGGTCTCATTTCATCCATGACCTAGGGCAAGCCTAAAACGTACTTGTAACGGCAATCAAGGAAAGGAAAATCGTTGGAAAGTATGTTATTCACAACGTTAAGATTGTTAGAATACTTTGAATGTCGGTCCTGATTTGAAAGTTGATTGAGTTTTCTGCATTATGGCACTCACCTTGTACGTTGACTACGCTTTCAGGCCCAAGTGTTCCAAGACCGTTAAAACGCCGAGTCACTTGATATAGCTGCCTCTTCCACGGCTTAATGTAATTTGCGATATTGGAAAATTAAATTGTGACGAAAAGACGGTTGGGCTGGGCCACGGGGAGGGATAGGTATGGGGAACAATACTCCTAACCGACACTGTGGAAAATTTATTCATGGTTGGCTTAATGTTAAATGCATTAAGGTTCGGTGATGAAGAAAGTTTTCAATTTGTCGCTGAGTTGCCATATAAAGAATCAATGGTAAAAACGGCGTGTTCATGTGACTGTTGCGTGACTTTGGACTGGGATTTGGCACAATTGGAAAGGCGGTGGGGTTTTTGAGACGACAGGTACATAGAACTGTATGTGTGTGCAAGTAGTATTTCCAGGTTCAGGTACAAATCTAAAACTGAACAAGCGAATTGTACATTATGCATGAAAGAAACTATTATTAGTAGTAAATTGTCGTCTTTGAGGGTTTACATTTTGTAATATTTACAAGTTTTCCTGATTTTCAAGTGCTAAATTGTCAAAATTAGTTTCTCTCTGACAGGATTTTTTAACCTTAGTCGACAAAATTATCGCTAGAAGTATTCGCAAGAATTCTAGTTTGCTCACGTACAGGTTTAAGTGCACAAGGCGTCAGGCAGTCCTAGCTTCAAGAAAATGGTGCAAAAAGTTACAATTTTCGATCTCAATACCTGAAAAGAGATTGTAGCGAGGAACTAGCCGAACAAGCCCATCCGTGAATAGACTTCCAAACTTGGGCGTGTTCCACTCTACCAGCGTTTAGCGTTAAGCACCCACCTGGCATTATCAACTGCGGCAAATATTTCCCTAATGGAGCAGCATTATGATCGAGTGATTTTCCACGCCGCTCGTTCAATAATGTCGGCACATCATGCAAGCCCTCCCACAGGAAAATCCCTACCACACACACACGGACGGTAGTTTTTTTTTTAAATTTATTATCATTTATTACAACATTTAATGACAAAAAGAAAAGGATGACGACATACTCAAGCCCAGGGCTTATGTTCGTGTCGTCTTCGAACATTACAAAAGTAAATAAAAAACAAATACAGACATGCAAAGCGTAAGGATAACAAAGTTGCAACGCATAGTAACCGTGACAATATAAAAGATAAAGAAATGATGAAGAGGCCGATGTATGCAAGTAAATTGCAACTGTACCGACGGTAATTCAGTACCATGGACAGAGACGTTATGTTGAAAATCATGTAGGAAGGCACGGTCTTCCCCTAAACCATTAAACTCGTAATACTCCATCAAAAGAGCAGAGCAATCACATCATGGATAAGTGATAGGTGCCGTGCGCCAACGCGTACGTTTACTGGAGTTGTATGCCTGATAACTGCCGCTTGAACTTCCTGCGTTGTAGTCGTTTGAGGGATATTCAACGTTCGTAAAATGCTTCCTAGAATTCTGTCAAGGCCTTGTTGAAATGGTAAAGTCTAAACACTCAGACAGCAAGTAATAAGCAAGTATTTTATTTGTAACGGTTTTGTGTACTACGTGCATTTTTTTCGCCGAGAAATTGTGGGATTTTTTTACCTGTTTTGCAGGGTTTACAAGAATTTATGTATACCCTAGCTCTGTTTTTCCCTCGATATTATGAAGATTTATTCACGTGTAGTCTCTGAAATATTTTACACGGGTCTTGCTTACTTGCTTGCTAAGTTCCAATCCCAACATTACAATACAGCGGATAAAAACACGACATAAGACAATACAGCAATTATGTATAGCGGCTTTTCATCCTTTAAGCAGCCTTAACAAAGTCCGTAAAGTGAAGTAATACCTTCTCTGATCAAGCTTGCCTAAAACCATTACACAAATTTTCTTCTTTTTTCAATAATTTGTTTGTACCGCTTGTTGGTAATATTCCGAGACAGTTGATGCCACCGGAAAGTGTGATCTAGGAACCCGCAGAACTGTTTTTAATTGTTGAAGTATTGACTTGAATTGTTTTAGGCGACTGCGCGTCTTCGGTCCATAGTACCTAATTTCGGGGTGGCGCCAGGATAATCTACGCCTAAAGGTTAGAACGGCCTGCGGCGAATGGGGAACGTCGTTACGTGTTTCATTTCTCACGACTTGAAGAAGTACAGCACGTTACTTAGGCCACACCAATT